CCTGCCCTCGGAGCGTGCCAGGACCACGGGGCACGCTTCGCCAATCTGCCGAGCGGTGTTCGCAGCATACAGCCGGACCTGGGACAGCAGAGCATCCTGCAAGAGCATGAGACCCTCCTCCGCTGGCCAAAGCGAAGAGCAGTCGAGGGTACCCTCCCCCCTGGGCGCACGAGAACATCCAGCAAGCACGAAGAACATCAGGGCACCCTCCCCGAACCGACTTCGATCTTTTATATACCTCGGTTCGACTGCACCGCCCGCACACGTGACCCTCCGCCGGCCCAAGTGAAGAGCAGTCGAGGGTACCCTCCCCCAGGATGCACAAGAGCACCCACCGAGCACGCAGAACACTAGAGGGCACCCTCCCCGAAGCGACCTCGATCTTATGCATACCTCGGTCCGGCTGCACCGCCCGCACACGTGACGGGGCGGTCGGGGGGCGCGGGTTGGAGGAAGCATGCCGGCGGCTGCCCAGGGAGGGCGCCCGCGGAGAGGGCGCGGGGGCCGCTCCCGAACAGGGCAGCCCGTGCTCCGGGCACGGGGGGGACGTGCGCCGCGACTGGGTGCTCATTATTTTTAAGTCGGGCCTGTCCCCCTGCAGGGGCGTTTTCGACGAAAAATTCAAAAAATACGCAAAACATATTCAAAAAATACTCCAAAAATTGTCTGGGGACTATTTTTTGAATATTTGTTGGCCTTTTTGGTGTATTTTTGGGGGTATTTTTTTTTCCGTCGAAGCTCCCCCTGTAGGGGGACAGGCCCGACTTAACATTATTTGAAGGGCGATGAGTGAGGGGGGAGAGAAAGGTGCCCTTGTCGGGCCCCGAAGGCGGGGCCCTGAAGGGCTTCTTTTCCGCAGCCCTGGCTGCCCCCCCTCTCTCAGTCATCGCCCCCCATCGCGCGCCCCCCAAGCCGCGAGAGGCACCCTGAGATCCTGGCAGGTTGCAGTTTCTTCCCAGACATCCTCGCGTCATGACAGAAGTCAAGACGGGAGGCTTTGCGGAGTTTTCGGCCTCCCGAGGCCCTCGCTGGAGCCCGGGACCGTCAAGAAACGACTCCGGATGGAAAACCGGTCCAGGGGAAAAGGGTCAGGACTTGCGGGGATCAATGCATTGGATGTCTGGGACAAGCGGCGTTTTCTCCTAGTTTCGGGCCCTGGGATCCTCACAGATCGCTGCAGCTTGAGAAATGCCGCAGCAAGAGAAGGTCTAGAGACTAGGGCTCGAATCGCTGTTTTCGCCACGCAATATTTTTCCGCGACGTCCGGTCTCAGGGCAAGACACGAGGGCAATCTTTACAGGGTCGACCTGATGATCCGACCCGCCTGTATCGCACTACAGTCAACCCGTATCATAAGGATGCGCGGCAAGGATGCAAGGGCCTTGGGGGAGGCCCACGTTCACGTTTTTCGAGCGAGGTTGGCCAGCGAAAGTCGCTCAGGCTGGGCCGACGGGGCAAGGATGCAAGGGTACTGTTGGGAAGGTTGCCCATCCTTACTATGCGGGTTGACTGTAGGGGGGGGCGGGGGGGGCGAGGACTCTTCTCATCCGTCCCCAGGCCTCGCGTCGAGAAGAGAGCGCGACGGAAGGTCTCTCCCCACACTGTGCGCATTGGCCTCCTGAGAGTCGTGGGGCGCCTCAGCCTCACCTTCCTCCTCCCGCCTCCCTCTCATACCCAGACGCTCATACTCCGATTCACTCACGCCCCGGCCCACTGACTCATGCTCCTACAGCTCAGACTCACTCATCATCAGACTCGGTCACACTCAGACCCACTCATACTCAGACTGACTCACTGCCGCACAGATTCAACCATACTTAGCTGCACTCTGGTCACTCATGCTCAGAACCACCGAATTACACTCACAGACAACCAGAGCTCTGGGGAACCGCATTTTGGAAAAGCCACGACGTCGAGTTTTTGGGACAGGGGAGGGGGAATTCAGAATCGAGTCTGATACTTCTGTGTTTTGGCACCCTCTCTGGGCCAGAAGCCTCCAGGGAAGGGCTAGGAGGGAGGAAGTCGGGAGAGAAGGGAGGAAAAGGGGGAGGAGAGGGAGGGCCCTAGGAAACCTGTCTGGATATCGTGTGGGCGTCGCGTCTGGATCGGAGGTGAGGGGGTGAGATCGAAGTGGAACGGAGAGCCCCCCTACCGGGAAATCGATTTCGGTTTCGTGTTCGTGCGTGCCGTGCGGGCGAGGCGAAGCTGCGTAGGCGGGCGAGAGAAAGTCTCCTGTGGCTGAGGCGCGGCCGGACCAAATGTCTCCCTTCCGGGCGGCCGGGGGCCCGCGGTGTCCCCCCGGTGTCCCGCTGGTGTTCCGTGTGGCTGAGGCGCGGCCGGACCAAATGACTCCCTTCCGGGCGGCTGGGGGCCCGCGGTGTCCCGCCCGTGTCCCGCTGGTGCCCCGTCGGTGTCCCGATGATGATGATGTTGATGTTGATGTTGATGTTGATGATGATGATGATGCTGATGATGATGATGATGATGCTGATGATGATGA